GAGGGAAAAATTAAGCCTTAAAAATGACTCAAATCTTAGTGAGAATATACAGACGACATATTAATCCACTGTGTTCATCTGTCTGCCATTTTGGATCTTGTGTAACTGGCTAATACTCAAGCAGTATGCAGGTCAGTCACTCCAGGGTTTTGCCGAAATCTCATTCTCACTGGATCAATATTTTATTTACACCATGCTTCTCTTTATCAATTCCCTATCCTCTTTTGGCTTCCCTCCATCATTCTGTATGATTGACTGACTCAATGTTCTCTATATTCTGCTACGAGACTGGAGTATTGACGCCCTCTCTCTGACTCACTCTCTTTGCCCAGCTGCCTTGTTGCATATTTCTGTCTTCCACTGATCCCAGTATGAAAAAAACAAACAAACATATACTATCAGACAAATACAGTATATTCTACAGTCTGAAACTTCACACAGAGCCTAAGAAACCTGCCTTTAATAAAAAGGTACATATTACAACATATAATACAATAAAATGTGGATGTTTACTTAGAAAACAGGGCTTTTTGGTTCCTTACAAAGTAGCAGCTGTTGACAAATCCACATGTGGGAAGGGAGGCCTCCTGAGTGAAGAGAGGCTCCACTGAACTGTCAGAGGTGGTGCTGCCCGAACGAGTTGACGCCCTGAAGAAGACCTCTGCCTGGCACAACTACATGCATACAAACACACAAAAGCTGAGTTTTTAAAAATCGACCACTGTATTCAATACTTCTTCAATAAAGTGCTCTGTGATCGACTCTTCATGGTCATTAGCAACTATTCAGGGAGTATTCAGAAAACGGCTGGTTTCCTTTGTTAAGACCAACACTGAACTTTAACATTTGACAGTGTTTTGACCTCAAAATCTTCTGCAGGTGTAACAGATGGGGTACTTGTCTACCTAAAATTGTGTGTCACTTTGTTGTTCCATCTCTCACCTCATGGTCAGGAATGGGCGAGGGGCTGAGTGAGCCCTGGGAGTGTTTACGTGGTGCTGAGGCAGCGTGGTCACCCAAGGCCTGAGACTCTGTCTGTCCAGTGGGTGCTGGGCAGGTGGCAGGTCTCTCCCACTGGGTGGTGCCTGTGGGAATGTGCCAGTAATAGATACCGGCCATGTCTGTGATCTTCTTCCATCCTGGAGGCAGGTCAGGATCTGTCTGGAATGACTGCTCACTCCAGATATCTAGAAGAAAAAAAAACAAACAAACACACATTTGAATCGTTTATTGATATCAACTGAAAAGTGCAAATCTGTTAAATCTCATATATGAGATGGTAAAATTGATAGAGAGGCTAACCCTCCAACGCACATACACTGAGCAATATCAACAGCTGAAAGAGATGAGCAGCATCTGCTGCAGCTGTCATTCACTACTGACAACTGAGTAAAACAAGCACTTTTGTTGTATTCTTGCAACACACTGACAAATATTTTTCACAATATCACACAGGAAGAAACCAATCCCTGAAGAAAGTGTCGATAATTTAGACATACTGGCTGGGTCCATATGGAAAAACATAAAACAGAACACATACATATACAACACCATATAGAGCAGATGGTTGTTACTGTAATTTATTTGACAGTAATAAAATTAGAGGAGATACAGCGGTACCTTGAAAACACACACATGCTCACACAGACTTTGTGCGGAGATGGATTCAGGGAGTACTATATCACAGTTTCTTCTTTCTGGTACTAAATGTCACAGCATCTGAAGGCTGCAGTTTCCTGGCAGTCAAGGCAGCTACAGCACCCACGGACATACACACACACACACACATGTGCAGAACTATTGATGGCATCTTTGTGTGTGTGAAGTTGACGTAGTGGCAAAAGGTTGTAACGATGATTCGAAGCCGCATTAGGTGTTGTAGCAACTCATAAACATGATATAAGCTCTGAGGAACTGGTCAGCTGCTGCTGTGCGTATTTGTGTGGTTGCTCTTGTGTGACTGTACAAAGAGTTCTCGAACTGCTGACCGGGCTGATGAAACACAGCCCCTGGGCCTGTTGCTGCAGCAGGCCATATGCCATCATGACGACTGGGTCAGTCTAGATCACAGAGTGTATATAAATATGAACAATATGACAGCCTCCCTGAAGTGAGGACACCATAAGTGGGTTGCCCCCTGGTGGCTGGTTGCAGTATACATCGTAAACACTGGGGAATGAGCCAAACAAAAATGTAAAAGAACAAATCAAATATGTTTTTTTCCTCTCATGTTAGGTAGACCTTTTATTATTCTGATCTGTGTACAAATGTTCATTTTTCTAATATGTTCATTAATATAAAAAGGGGTGCATTTTGGTTGATTTGAGCTTTGATTGACAGCCTGATATTGCAACTCTATCTCTGGCTGCTACTGCACAGAATCTGGTTACAAAATTAAGTCAAAAAGCAGGATGGCCGCCTTCGTATTCACAATATTTTGGCCCATATTTTGCATAATGGCAGGAAACGATGAGCCCTCATTCATTTTTATATACAGTGTATGATCCAGACTGAGATTGAACTGAGACACACACTTGTGTTTCCATCACTTCAGGGGACTTAAATTCATTTCCTGGAAACTTACCCTAGCCATAAAGGATAAGCCCAGTAACTTTCTATAATAATAATAATAATAATCTTTTCAGCAGTCTCCATACAGAGAATAAAACTGTAACACTTTGCCTCTACTCACGATTAATGTCAGTCAGTATGTCAGTCCTGGATTAACTTCTTCGTCTGTGACATAGACCTCAGTTGTTGTTCAAAATCAATTAAAAGCACATTAGTGAAACACAGTGCTGCACTGGGTGACATACATATGATCCAGACTGAGATTGAACTGAGAGCAAATCCCTTAAGTAAAGCATGAGCAAACCCCAGACCTGAGCATGAGCAGCAGCAGACTGTAAACAAAGGTGAAAGCTGGCAAAAAATCTCGCATATGCGCAGTCGACTCATACTATCGTCAAGAAATTAGGGGCGGCGACCGTGGTGCAGTGGGTAGAGCAGTCATCTCCCAACCACAAGGTTGGAGGTTCGAGTCTCAGTGCCGGCAGTCCACGTGTCGAAGTGTCCTTGGGCAAGACACTGAACCCCCCCGTTGCCCCTGATGGTTAAAAGCCATCGGTTGAGTTGGCGCCACAGATGGCTGCCATCGGTTCTGTACCGGAAACAAATTCCTTGTGTGTGTAACATACTTGGCCATATAATTCATTCTTCTTCTTCTCTAAATTATGGCCGCATGAAGGCTTTGGGGCAGCAGAGTCGGGTTTGGTGTTTTGTTACAAAAACATGTGTCACCCAGTGTAGCAGTGTGTTTCCCTGATGTGTTTTTAATGGCTTTTGAACAAAAGAGATCTATCGCATAAACAAACAAACCAGTCCAGGACTGAAAGCTGACAGACATTAACCATGAGTAGATGAAATTCATGGCGGTTATAGTCTGTATGGAGATTGCTGAAAATACTAATAACATAGAAAATGACTTTAACCATAAGATACAGGCACAAATACATCCAAAAACAAGTTATTAGGACTTCAGTTTATTTAATGGAACAGAGATAACAAAAAGCTTAGCAAAATGTAGGTGTGCATTAGGGCTTAAGACTGTGCTTCAGAGGAAGAAGCTGGGAAGCAGTGCCTTGTGGGAAATGCAGTCTTTTAAGACAAAAAAAAAAATAGGTCAGAGCCAATAAAACTACAACAAATACTGTATATTCTGAGTGTCTCTGCGATGAGCAAGAGAGAGGATGTTGACTCAAACAGTGGGCCTGGATGTGGATTAAAGTATGTACATCCAAAAGAGAGAGCGGGGTACGCTGACTGAGACAGAAAGAGAGCAAGTGAGCTCTGGCTGTTTTGTTTCAAGGGCTATACCATACAGTGAACTGTCACTCTCTGCAAGCATTA